TTCTTTTTAAATTCGACACCTGACGATTAATATGCGCAAACTGCGCAATATCAACTTTCTTATTTGTTAACATATTTTGTTGAAATGTTAACCTTAGATAGTTCTAGTGAAGGCAAACATATTGCATACAGTAAAAATGTGTGCGCAATGTAATTTTTCTTATTTATGGAGACATTTCTTTGACATTTTAACCTTAGGTGCTTGTAGTAAAGAAAAACACAATTCGCATAGCTATGGCATTTTGGGGAATATTGATCAATGCATGGAAAATGCGCTAAAGTTATCGCCTTAGGGCGAAAACCTGTTTTTAAAATTTTTTTTTTAATTTTAGTCATAAAAACCTTATTTTTTTACTTTTTAGCGCATTTTTGCAAATTTATTTGTAAAAAGTAGCTTTTAATCTCACTTTGGCTGGCTGGCTGGCTGGCTGCCTGGCTGGCTGGCTGGCAGCAAATGTGGACGCGTAGAAAGGCAACGGGTGTAGGTACGTGTATCTACAGGGCCGTGAAATTTGTCAACCTTAGGGGCATGGCTACATGATGTGGGGTTGGCGACATCTGGGCGTCATCCTCGAGCGTAGTATACTAACGTGAAGGTTTTTCAGTTTTTTCCTATCTTCTACTACAGTTTTGGTCCGATTCTTTTGAAATTGGTGTCGTCGGAAAGATGTAAACGCGCACAACTCCTGCGTGGCGGAATTTTGTTTTTTTGTCATAGGGGCGAAATTAACGACCTTTTGCGAGGCGCGCGCGCGCGTCTTCGAGAAGTAGTCAACTTCGGGCGCCTTTTACTTTCCGTTGCGAACTCACGCGGTTTAACGTTTCGTAAATCTCGAATCGCTGTCTCTCTTTCTCGTGTCGCCAATAGAAGTGAATTGCGAGTGAACGGGACGTCGGAAGGGGGTACCGTCAAAGGAAATGTGGTAGCCCGCGACACGATCTTCCTGATGGTGGAGTCAAATCTTCAATCGCGAATTGCGGGTGAACGGGACGTCGGAAGGGGTACCGTCAAAGGGAATGTGGTAGCCCCCGACACGATCTCACTGATGGTGGAGTCAAATCTTCAAACGCGAATTGCGGGTGAACGGGACGTCGGAAGTGGGTACCGTAAAAGGGAATGTGGTAGCCCGCGACACGATCTTCCTGATGGTGGAGTCAAATCTTCAAACGCGAATTGCGGGTGAACGGGACGTCGGAAGGGGGTACCGTCAAAGGGAATGTGGTAGACCCCCGATGGTGGAGTCAAATCTTTAAAAGCGAATTGCGGGTCGTCGGAAGGGGGTACCGTCAAAGGAAATGTGGTAGCCCCCGACACGATCTTCCTGATGGTGGAGTCAAATCTTCAAACGCGAATTGCGGGTGAACGGAACGTCGGAAGGGGGTACCGTCAAAGGGAATGTGGTAGCCCCCGACACGATCTTCCTGATGGTGGAGTCAAATCTTCAAACACGAATTGCGGGTAAACGGGACGTCGAAAGGGAGTACCGTCAAATGGAATGTGGTAGCCCCCCACACGATCTTCCTGATGGTGGAGTCAAATTTTCAAACGCGAATTGCGGGTGAACGGAACGTCGGAAGTGGGTACCGTCAAAGGGAATGTGGTAGCCCCCAACACGATCTTACTGATGGTGGAGTTAAATCTTTAAAAGCGAATTGCGGGTGCACGCGGAAAGTGGGAAGCGGTTAGTGAATGTAGTAGCCTTCGACAAGATCTGTTATTGATGGTTGAGTCGACAGTGGCTAATAGAATACTGATCTGCCACACAAAAATGCGCTGAAGTCCCTTCGATCTCAAACGAGGACTTTGATATTTTTTTTTAAATAGTAGGCCATCAATTCATGGAAATTTTGTTTTGTTTATTGTATGCATGGTAATTAAGGCAGCTGATACCAATCAACAATAGTAGAAACATGTCATTTCAAAAATTGTTTTAATTAACACGCCACTGGATTCTACGTAAAAATATTGTGTCTCATGTCCCGAACCGCCATAATATATAACATAACACATGAGTTCCATTCGTACGACGCAGTCCGATCCGACCGTCTGTCCATCATTTTGACATGAAAGTTTTGAAGGTGCCGCTTGTTTAAGTATGTAGGTATACGGGGAATCAAAATAGCAGTACCGGATCAGATCATTATAGTACTAACCACAATTTTAGGCAAGAGCCAAAAGGCTAGATATTCCATTTATTGTTCAGTATGATACCCATAGTCCGCCTCACCTTGACTTTACAGTACAGGCTCTTATGATCAACAACGATGCCAAATGTCATCAGAATATTATGATTTGAAGAAGATGGTCGTATTTGTAATCTATAAAATCGGCATCGCCGCGCTAAAAATACACACTTTAAGATGAATCTGACAGATTTTTCTCACAAAAACAAAAAAAATCACTTTTAATGCACCACAATAACTTACGGGCTCAAAAACAATGTCACTTAACTTTGTGGCTGCTCGGACAGTAAGACTTCTCTTGTATTACCCCAGTTATTTCTTTATTCACACAAACTTTTTTTAAGTCGAAATTCCATGCGAAAAAACTTCTTGCACAGCATTATTACTATTTTACTAACGTGAAGACGATTCTTTTTCTTAAAATTACATCGCCGGATGGACTCCAGTGCCAAAATTAGCGTAATAGACATTTCGCTCTTTTCATTCTTCCTATTTAAGCAAAAAAAACCACTTCCTTTAACAAATTCAACATTGTTATTAACCCGGCGTTACTCGAAATTTCTCTATATCGCCATAACTGATCAAACACCTGCATCGCTTAGCCCGCACGTGACATTGTTTGGCAAAAAACAAGAAATTCTTGTCCGATGTCAACTTTTTATCACACTTTAAACTCGCGTTTTAAAAAGTTTGATTAAAGTTACCTGTTTTAAATTGATCATATAAACTAAATACAGCAAATAGATTTAAATGAATTAAATAATTATCAACTAAATTTTGCAATGAAAAAACTAACATGAAAATGACAATTCAACAATGAAAAAAAATCCCCAGATCTTATGAAAGAACTTGAATTATGTTACATATACAGGTTGTCCTGAGTGCTATTTCCGATATTTAGACCGTGACTCGCTCTCATCTTCGACAACCTAAAGAAACGGCACTCTCGTGTAGTTTACACAACAGTAATTTACCGATCTCAAAATTGGAGACGTTTTTTGAGGAAGCGAGATGCTCAATTGCCCATTTTTTTATTGAAGAGAACAATCACTGTTTTTCCATTTAGAGTTTCTCTATAGTGCAAAATATAAGTTATTTCTCTCGACCTAGTAAATTCACTTACCTAGCGTTATACTTTTCACCTCGATAACAATTTACTTTACAGGTACGATGTAGTTTACATTAACCTATCGAGTATACCAGACTGGTTCTACGAAAAAAGTCCATTGGGTAAAGTTCCTGCTCTAGAAGTCGAGAGTGGAGATGTCATTTATGAGAGCTTAATAATTGCCGATTACTTAGAAGACATATGGACGACACATCCGTTATATCCTAGGGATCCCCTTCAGAAGGCAAAAGATCGCATTTTAGTTGACCAATTTAACAAGGTATGTGAGACACATTGGATAACTCTTGCTTGGTACCCATTCATATGGTTTTTTCCTTGTTTGTGTCCAATTGGGGAGGCTTCAAGCATCTTATGTTCGTTGGTCTCTTATAAATGCATTGCTGTCATTACTCGGAGTAACCCTCTATAAGTTGGAGCAAGCTCAATGAAACCAATAAATACACTTTTAGGACACAAAATACATTTTTGACAAATACAAGTATTACAGGCGACCCGCGTTTAGCTGAAGCACTAGACGAATGCGCGTTGAGCCAATGGCAGCGCTACTGCGCTACTGGTAGAAATTCTATCCAATGGTGGTTGAAAAACATGTATAGACGGCTACGCGCTAGTGCTTCAGCTTGACGCAGGTTGCCTGTACATAATGTTCCAAGATTATATCCAAAAGCTAGTGTTTGGCAGTGTTGCCAGATTAGAGATTTTAATCCGAAAAACATATTCCAAGCCGTTCCTAATGATTCCCACACCACTTGCGCTTGGTTTGATGTGTAAATGGGTCATTTCTTTGCAAAATTTTTAGTACCGATCTTGGTTTCTTTGACCATTTTATAGCAACAGTACGTAACTAATCAAAATTGTCATATTCTTCACTACTTACATATACTGACCTATTGGACTTCAGAAAAAGATAAAAATTACCATGAAAGCTCATATGTCCGCAATGCGTCTAGCAAGAGTCGCCTAAAGTGTGACTGGAGTACCTACATGTAATGTTCTTACACACTATTTTTCAGGTAATAAACGCCATGTTCAAACTAATTCTAAATACAAATCGAAGTTACATAGAGGATTACAGGAGCATAATAGTCGAAGGACTCGCTTCGTTCGAGAACGAATTAAAAAGACGAGAGGGACCTTTCTTTAGCGGCCATAAACCTGGAATGTTAGATTATATGATTTGGCCGTGGTGCGAACGAGCCGATTTATTGAAACTATTCGGCAGCCATTTCACAATCAAACCCGATTACTATAAAAAATTGGTGAGATATAGCAAACATCCTTAAATTTGAACATAGTGAGATTGAATTTTGTAGATGGAGTGGCGTACCTTAATGCGTGATGATCCGGCTGTGAAAAAAAGCTACATCGATAGTGCCACTCACATAAGATACGTTCAGTCTTATCGTGCAGGTGTTCCGGACTATGATATGGTTATTTCTGTGTAAATGATTGTTGCTACTGCGTGGTTATTTCTTCCTGTAATAAATTCAGATTCTGGCACTAATTAAGCACAAAATATATTTATTTAAATGTTTGTTACTGATACTATTAAACTGTAAGATGCGCCTTATATTTAGATATATAGTTTATGTATAGGTGTATGGTATACTAACACTAATGTGCATTTATTTTGTATAGAATATGTAATTTTAATAAATTTTGCACCTGAAAAGGTAACTATTTTCTGATCTACACATCATCAAATTTATGGTACCTAAGTCATACCTACTATCTAAATTGTCCCAGTTATTTGCATTGGATTCCTTTTACGCTACCTAATTTAAATTTATCTTTGGCATTCAATTTGCTTATTTTATATTTTTTTCCAATTCCTACATTGTTTTATTGAATTTAATCCTTAATTTTTGTGCATTAACAGGTAATTTTAATTAAAACATTTTTGTTTTCTTGTAAACAATTCATCGAAAAATGGATTTAAATCGGTCGGTATTGGAAAAAATAATATAAGCAACACTGGATTAAACTAGTTTTTGTTCCCTTAAGAATATTAAAGCCCTCGGCGGGCTTTAAACCATTCTCTCAGGAACAAAAACTCTTCTCAATCCCTTGTTACTGGTTTACTGCGCTGGTTTAAGGGTGCTAGGGATACAGGATAGGCAACACACAATGGTCACTGATATTTGCAATAAAAGTCGAAACTTTTGAGTAATTTTTGAAGCCCAAATATTAATTCTAACTAGAGGTCTTATCGGAAAATGATAGAGATATAGAGAGTCATTAAATGTAGCAATTTATTTTTTTGATAAAATTATTTAAGTCGTGTATAAACGATAATCTTGAATTTACTAAGAACGCGAATACTGGCCTTAGTAAAAAAAATATTTAAAAAGTAAATCCGCACAGTTTATTTAGTAACTAAGTGGATTAAAAAAATATATTACGCACCGAGTGCGAAAGTAGGTTATTTTTCGAAGAATTTTAATCACCCGAGGCGCGCAGCGCCGAGGGTGATTATATTCTAAGAAAAATAACCTTTCGTCGAGGTTCGTATACGATTTTATTCACGATCATCATTATAATCATTCCATTATCAAAAATAAAATAATTCACTAAATTTATACGTATTATATTCATCTTATGCGCCATCTGCAATATTATTGCCCTACATAAAATGTTGTCGGTAATACAGATTTGGAAATTTACCTAATTAATATTCATATTAATTTAACATGTATGTTAAAAAATGGCCCATACAAAAGAATTTAAATGTACATCCCCTCAAATAAGGGAAATTGAGTGTAGTAAAAAATTTACTCCCCGAATGAATTTTTGAAGTGAATGAACAATGGTGGGCAGGAAAGGGTATAGGTAAAACTTCATGTTTTACTTGCTTATTTTAATGAGGTAAAGGTAAAAAAATCATCCACATTATGAACGACCAAATAATGTTGTGATCCACATTCAAACCTAATGCGGTAATGCCTAATGACCATGTCAGTTTTATTATTCTAAAATGTACCTACAGCGATCTTTTGTGATTACAGATTTAGACTGGGTTACAATATTAGTATTATAATCTGTGCAGATGTCAATAACGAAAGATTTATTCTCCAGATCCAATCAGGTAGTCACTAAACACCTGTTCCAATACGATAGCCCTAAAAAATAGCATTATCTATTTCTAAAATGTGACAAATTACATTTAATTACCGGACATTGTTTTTGGCATATGATCGCTACAATATTAGCAAGTGCCAGTGGAGTTCTTCAACTTAAAACAGTTCGGTGGCTGTAGATTGGCTGCACTAGCAGGAGGTTTCGTCGCCAATTCAGTGGCCCGTTCGCTTTACGGGCACGCGAAAATAACAAAGTATGGCAGTATCCTCTTCAGGTAGTGCTACGACGTCTCCGATATGCAACATTATGATGCCATAAATTGCCATCCCTTGCTCTTCTCATGGGTCGCAAGCGCAACCCAATGTTTCCATGTCTTATAGACAAGAATTGAACTTTTCCACCCAGAAATTTAAACAGTAATGGGCTCTCTAAAGTAACAATCAATTTTATTAAACTCAAGTTCGAGTTTTATATACTTACCGATCCTTTAATAATTAACGGTTTCTTTTTGCTTTTGTTTTTACTTAACCATTTAGCACCGCGCTCGTTTAGTTTTAGGTTACGTGAAACAAACCATCATTTCCCGTAATCTGGCTAAAGTTAATCACAACTCCTACTTGTGTTTACTTCGGTACGCATTTACTTATTTCACTTTTTCGCGTTTGGTCGTTCATTTGCAATTTACAAAAAAAAGCACAGAACTTAAAATAATCCATATTACTCATAATAAGAATAAGAATTGTTTTTAAAATGCGGTTTTGAACAATTTGCATCTAAATCAGCTGTCATCGGTGTCAGACAGTTACGATGAGAGCGCCATCCATTAGGATATTAGCAACTAAATCGAGGTAGGTAATGAAATATTACTAACCTCGAATCGAACATTACTAACCTCGAGAATCTACTTTCCTCCCTCCTGGAAAAATAAGTGTTGTAAAACACAACTTCCTTATCCTTCAAAATGACAATTATGAGACTGATTACAATATGATCGTGAAGAAAGTATCTTACCTACCTTAATTTCATGTCGTAGAGCGTCTATTATCGCAGCACAAACTTCAGGAATAATCGTTGCAATAACTTGTTTTGAAAATTTCAGAGACTTGCTATAACTAGACTGCGCTTAACGTATCTAAGGTGTTGTCGACACAGTATGCAACACACAATGCACCGCGGGGCAAAAATCGCTGAGATGATATGCAATATAATGAAATAAGCTGATATTTTAGATGTTCCGTTCATTAATCATTCTCGTGATTAGCTCGAATTAGTGAACAGATAAATTTCTGTTGAGAATAAACCAATAAACTTAGGTTAACTTGTGCCTATCAACATGTACTCTGTCGATAAATTTTTAAATAATACGCTGATTTTCAACGGATAAAAGTTTAAAGGGCCAATGGATCAGAGCCATTCGAAGAGAAAAATTTACTCCCACCATAATGCATTTTGCGGGGAATGAAGCCGATTTTAGAAAGGTACCTACGAAGGTGTTAAACAATAATGCAATACCGAGCGTTTTCGACTTTCCCATTCACTTAAAATAACGTAGAACTATTATTCGACATCCTTTACCAGCAAGACAACGGCAGTACCTATTTGTCTATTAGGTATAGACGTAACTAAGTACTTACTGGTACTAAGTATATTTCAGGTTTTGTTACAAGAAAAATAGGTAAGTCTGTTAAATGTTCCATATGTGCAGATGCGATATTCGCATCAGAGAGTCATTCAAAGCTTTTAACTAGAAAACATCGTGGAGGATTGTTGCACGTATCAAGCGATGCATTAAAAATTTGCCAAATTGCTGAAAATGTGTTCAGGTTTTTCATTCAATCCACACCACACCGCGTTGTAAACAAAATGGTTATCAGCAGTCTAAGAAAAATAAATAACAGTTACAGCCCATTTGGGTTTTTGGATAGGAATATATTGAATCAAAATCCGCTAAATAATCATATCTTACTACTTACAACTTTAGTTTTAAGAGTATATTTTCCCATACGTGTTCACCACCAAAATACACATATAAATCAAACTAGGACTAGAGTAAGGCAGTTATATGTATATCAATTTACTTCAAATAAAATACCAATAAATTCGATTAAAACAGTTAACAGCTGTATGTTATCTCTTTTTGCTACTAAAATTTAGAATAAACATGGCTAAAGCAAGCTGCAGAACGTACGTCTGCCCCGCAATGAACAGTTGGTTGCCTATCCTATATTGACAACACTGCCCTACTAAGCACAAAGGGGGTAACTGCAATTTTTGGGGAAATTGAGAAATCGATGCCAAGTGACTCCTTGCGGTTTAATGTGCCTAATACTAAGGTATTATAGTTGTATCTTCGCCTGAATATTAACAAACATGCGTATTTCGTTAGCCGTAACTACCTTTTTTGCTTGAATTACTAAAGGCTTTGGGAGTAAGTACAGATTACTAGACAACTGCAGCCGTAACTACTGCAGATAAGGCGTTTTGCCTTAGCAAACGTCACATACTACATTTTTTGCTTTAGTAAAGTATCACTTGCCCCCATTATACTCTAGTAAGTGGACGTCATTTTTAACCTTAATAAACAGCTGCAGTAAATTAATAAGTGCATATCAGGCAGCGTCAGTGACTGTGTTTCTGAGTATTATTATTATAATTAATAATAAATTCACTTCGTTACATTTACATTGTTGGTTTAACTGATGGCTTCACGAGGTAAACATTTAGTGAGTTTGTGTATTGATCAACGAGAAAAGTTGAAAACGGCTACGGTGACAAGTACTTCAAAAGCTAATACCGCCTCCAACAACGCAAACCTTCATCAAGGCAACTCCAACGATCCTCGTAATGATTTTAATCTATCTGAAGCTAAAGATACGGAAACTGATCATTTATTAGGCGATAGTGATTTGTGTGTTTCTGCGCCTACCACCAGTGCAGCAGCAGTTATACCTGATGGCATATATATAATTAACGATAACGGATATTTGGATCCAGTTATTGACTATATTGAGACTGAAATAGATGTTGATGGTATTCAGATAGATGGTCTTCAGTTACCTTTCGATGAAATACGTACAATTAATCAACCTTGCATTTCTTCAGCTGAGGATAACCAAAATTTCAACAATGGTATGTATCAGTATTAATGTTAGTCCGAGTGTTAATCCAATTGAATTAGGAGCAGAAACTGAAGTTACATCAGATAATCCTACTGTAAATAAGGTTGTTCCTGAAACCCCTAGTGATCCAATACCGGAAGCTCAATTAGAAATTGATTGTGGACTTACCAAGACTGGAAACCCAAGAAAGAGAAAGAAATATTTGTTGTCGCGAACCGAAAGGAATACAATTAAGAAAAGAAAAGCAATGGAGGGGCACAATGTAAAACAATCATGTCCAGTTACCTGCAAAGTCAAATGCTCTTCAATTATAACTCCTGAACGACGAAAAGAGATTAATAAACAGTATTGGTGTCTTCCTACAACACAGGAAAAGAAAACATTTGTTCTGAGTTCCGTAAGCAAAAAGCCGGTAACCAGACGAACAACATGCAGTCCAAACTCAAGGCGTTCTTTTACCAATGAGTATTTTCTAAAAAATGCGGATGGTA